CAGGATCTGAAGCAGGCTCCAGGCTCTGAGCCCTCAGCACAGAGCCCGATGCGGGGCTCGAACCCACAAGCTGTGAGATCATGACCTGAGCCGAAGTTGGATGCTTAACCAACTGAGCCACCCAGGCGCCCCATTTAAAAAAAATTTTTTTTAATGTTTATTTATTTTTGAGACAGAGAGAGACAGAGCGTGAGTGGGGGAAGGGCAGAGAGAGAGGGAGAACAGTTTCTCTTCAACCTCTTGTGTTCTTCTATGCAGCAAAATGCCACCACAGTACTGTTTCATTCAGTTTTTCTTCAGTTTACTTAAGGACTAAATTCATATTATAATTTTTAAAATTGTTTTTATTATTAAGTACCTTAAAGGTATATGATGCTGTATTAAATGCTATAAAACAAGGATTTCTGATGAGTCTTTTTTTTTGTAATGTTTATTCTTGAGAGAGAGAGAGAGTGTGCAAGTGAAGGAGGGACAGGGAGAGAGAGGGAGACACAGAATCCGAAGCAGGCTCTAGGTTCTGAACTGTCAGCAGAGAGCCTGACCCGGTGCTCAAACTCACAAACGTGAGATCATGACCTGAGCCAAAGTTGGACGCTTAACCAACTGAGCCATCCAGGTACCCCCTCTGATGAGTCTGAAGAGTCATATTTTCTGATGATTTCCTCCTAGGAGTGCTGCATGGCCATTCCTCTTTCCCAGATTGTGTTCATTGAAGAACAGGCAGCTGGAATTGGGAAAAGGTGAGGTGTTATATACTGCAGTCTTTTCACAAAAAAACATTCCAGTCAAGCTATTATTATTAGCCTGGTAGATATATTGCTGTGCCATGACTTCATATGTGGGAGTGAACCTAATGATTGTGGTTTGGGGCTTTGTAAATAGTGGTCATTGGTCAGGAGCTCCCCTAAGAAGGTGTTTTCCTACATTAAACTCATGGGTAAATGGAAGTCATTCTTAAAACACAAATCAAGTACCAAGGTTTGCTATATAATATCCTTGGATCAAAATAAATCAATGTCAGCCAGCTGTCACTGCATGTATTTCCACAAACATTTGCTTTTGCACCTCTGTGTATGTAGTACTTAAAATCAGAAAGGACTCATCTGAGAAAAATGACTGACTTTACTTCACTTTCTTTTTAAAAAAATTTTTTTAATGTTTATTGATTTTTGAGAGAGACAGAGAGCCAGAGTGGGGGAGGGGCAGAGAGAGAAAGAGAGGGAGACATAGAATCCAAAACAGGCTCCAGGCTCTGAGCTGTCAGTACAGAGCCCCATGCGGGGCTCAAACTCGGGAGCGGCGAGATCATGACCTAGGCCAGAGTTGGACACTTAACCAACTGAGCCAACCAGGTGCCCCTTACTCCCATTTCTAGTTGATCATTAAGTTTCTCCACTTTGACTTTTTCACATATAGAAAGTATCATAGAAGTATCATAATAGTATCATAGAATAGAAGTATCATAACAGTTATTGTCAAAAATGGGACATTTATAAAAGTAATAGGGGGTGCTGTTTATAATTGGACCAAGGAAGCATAAAATGGGGACTGTTTTAGGCAAACCAGGACATGTGATCACCCTGGTTTAAAGTCACACGTTCAAATGTTTCTGTTTAATCAAGTACATAAAAAATTCTGGGTTTATTTTTTCAGTACATGTAATTGAGGGCAGTTATGAACAAATATCGCTGATAACTTTTTTTTTCCATGTGGGCCCATCTTGAGCATTAGTATAGTTAACTTCAGTAGAGGTTAAATGAATGTTGAACTCCACTAGAAATGCAATGTGTCCCTTAATTATAATGTAGCTAGCGTGAAAGATTGCTTATTTGACATAAAAGAAATTGACCAACATTTCAAAAAAATTAATAAAGGCATAGATTTTTAGAGTAGGCTATTTCTCTAATTTCTGTTTTTCCCCTCGTCATTTGTCTCCATCTCTTTAAGTTCTTTTTTTTCAAATGGAGGTATAATTACATATAGCATTGTATGACTTAGGTGTACAACATAATGATTCAATATTTGTATGTATTACTTTTCTTAAGTTCTACAAAGTAAAACTTTAAGGTGTTCCAGATCATTTGAATTTTCCTCTGCTGTCTTCCAAGGGAATCTAAACTGTAACAAAAATATTTAAAATATTTACTTTCCCATTAGTGTCTTATTTTTAACCATGTCCAGTGGGTAAGAATTTAATAATATGCCAGGTTAACTTTTCTCAAACATTCTCTTTAGTTCTCATCTCTTCCCTCCCAAGCAATTACCATATTTCATTGATTCAAAGATACACACACACACACACACACACATATATTTATCGTTTCACCTTTTAACATCTCATAACCTGGGGCGTGTGGGTGGCTCAGTCGGTTGAGCGTCCGATTCTTGATTTCAGCTCAGGTCATGATCCCACGGTAGTGGGATTGAGCCTTGTGTCAGTCTCCGTGCTAAGCATGGAGTCTGCTTAAGATTCATTCTTCCTCTGTCTCTCTCTCTTCTCTCTCCCTCTGACCCTCCCACATACATGGTGCTATCTCTTAAAAAAAAAAACACACCAAAACACCAAACATCTCATAACCCAAGATGCTTCTTTGATTTGGTGGTTTTTAAACTTGAAATATGGCAATTGAATGACCTGTGAAATGAATATACTTAAAAACTGGCCTGAATATTTTATGCTGACTTTGGGATTTTTAACCTTCATTTGACAAAAGGCTCTAAGCTAGGTATCCAGGATACTTTGACTGAGTGCTTTGGTTTTGTTAATTTTCGGAAGAAGATTGTTTATTGAGCGGGCTGGGGGAAAAAGAGGAAAAAGGCTTATAAAATTGAACAAATATAGTGATATTTTTATTAGCATAGAACATAATGGTAGTCATAAAGATTATGGTAGTTTGTGTTTCTAGAGCAGCAACATTTTGAGAATTGTTTTTGCTCTTGGATTATCTTCTAGATCATGCTGTTGATTGAATGGCATTTTCCAAAAATTATACTGTAGAATGTTAGTTTTGGACAGAGTTTTAACAAAATGTCAGCTGGCCAGTTTTATACAGATAAGTTTTCACATTTTGTTTTCAAATGAGTAAGGTAGTATGCTTTGGCAGAAATTAGAGGCCCCCCTGGTAACCTCTGGGGATGATTCTGTCCATGGAAAACCCTAATCATAAGCCAACGTAATGAACTATCCCAAATTTTACAAACTTATTTTGAACTTATTTTTGAAACCACCTTCTGAATTAATCTATAGAACTAGTAACTTGAATGTCTTGGTTCGTAGCTTATAAATTATAAGTAGAGGTATTTTTGAAAGGTTCATTAATACTGATGTAATAAAAAATATAGAATTCCTTTCAAGATGTCCCTTGTTTCTACATGAAATTTAAAAGTGAACTGAAATATATTAAAGGTTATGAAAATAGAATTAGTGATGCTTAAAGGTGATTAAATTCATTACATTTATTCCTTAGTGCCAAAATAGTGGTTCATCTTCACCCTGCTCCACCCAACAAAGAACCTGGTCCTTTCCAGAGTAGTAAGAACTCCTACATCAAACTCTCCTTCAAGGAACATGGCCAGATTGAGGTGAGCTTTTTTATGCATAAAATTGGACTAGAAATGTGTACTTGTGTGTATTTTTATTGTTTGTTAATACGATGGAAATCCGTATTGTACAACATACCAGGTTTCACCATATTTTTACAACAAAATTTTTCTAATAGATTAAGCCTTATCAGTAGAAAAATGAAGTTTAGGTTCCAGTGAGAACAGGAAGCAGGAGGGTGTGGTCACAAGGAAAACCCAGAAGCTGGCAATATGCTAAGTCATGCTATTAGGCCACTAGTAGACTTTTCAGTGGTTTGGTTAAGGAGGCAGAGTATAATGCAGTGAAATGTTAAACTATCTTGGTATCTGATAGCTCATCAGCCTTAAATCAGGCAGTCTTTCTTTACTGACTCCATATAGATCTAATCACTTACCTACTTACTCCATGATATGATAGTTTACAGGTTCTGATTAGTAAGTGACTATATAAGTATTCCTCAGACATTTACAAGGGTATGTTTATCTCCCCCATTGGTATCCTAAATTATTTATGTTTTTTTTTTTTTCTATAACCCCTCACCGAGTGCTCCTCACACAGTAGGCACTAAGCAAATATAAGTGACTAATTGCAGTCATGCTCACTGTTGGTAAAAAATATAGTTGATTTTCTGTGGGTGTAGTGATATTTTGGCTCTCATTTCTGGCTTCACATTTTAACTAGACAAATTATTCTCCGCTTCCTTCATGGATAATGGTTGTATATTTTTCTTGGCACTCTGTCTGTTTCACTATAGATTGAAAACAATCCACATATGCAGGATTGTTTAAAGTAAGTCTATTTATTCATTGTCACTCATCTCTTTGTTGAGAATAGCTCACTTAAATAGAAGGTCCGTTTCTTTCTTTCTTCTTTTTTTTTTTTTCCTTTGTGCTTTCTGAAGCTGATCCAAGAAGAGAACTTCCTTTGGTTTCTTTTGATGTCTCTGAGAATTCTAGGCTTTTTGCAATGACTGAACAGACCTTTCAACTAAAGAAATGTTAAGTAATAATTTGTATAAGGATACTATAACCTGACTGACTCATTTAAAGTGTATGTATGTGCGCAACAGTTTTATAGGCGTTTGTCTGAGGAAATGACACAGAGAAGATGGGAGAATATGCCAGTTTCCCAAGCTTTACCGACAAATAGAGGACCCCAGGTATTGTTGAAACTATTTCTTAACCCAGTGTTTTCAATTCTGTACTTGCATCTTCATTAAGGGAAAAGATTTCTATGATTATAGAACTTGTGAGAAACAAAATGGTACTCTGATAAAACCTTTATTTTCAGAGAACCTAGTTTAGTGCTCTGCACATGGTAGATACTTAGCAAAAACAAATGACTACTTACCAGAGTAACTCTTGGGGTGGTCACAGTTAGATTCCATTCACTACATTCTGTTCTTCGTAATCAGTCTGGCATCAGAGAACAGACAGTGCCTCTAGGTGATGTTTTTCAGACCAGTCTAAATTAACCACCAACTGTGGACAGACACTCAAATGTGTGAAAGTACTTTGTGTAATAACTGTCAAATACCAGAATTTTTAACCATAATTTCTTGCATGTTTGAGACCCTATTAAATATGATACGTATATAATAGTTTACCAAAGAACAAAAATGAATTTAATTTCTATCTAAAATACAGAGTAAAATATGCCAGTTATTGTATATACAGTTTTTTTTTTTTAATATTGATTTGAAGATCACTATGTATGACAAGAAACTGACAAATATTTTGAAAGGAAACTAGATGTAATTGTATGCTGTTTTTCTTTGGTTCTTTGTGGGTCCTTTTCCACCATTGAAAACACATTGTGGTGGGTTGCAAAAGATTGTGTCCTTCCTATTTTGTATGTTTTATTTTCTACTTTTGTTTCTCAGCCAGGAAGAATAAGGGCTGTGGGAATTGTAGGCATTGAAAGGAAGTTGGAAGAAAAAAGGAAAGAAACTGACAAAAACATTTCTGAGGTAACTCTTAACATAAGTTCCGGTCAGCTGTCTTTTTCAGCCATTTGTGTTTATTCTTTTGGATGTAGCTGATGACTAATTCCGTTCTGTATATTGGAATATATTTAGTTTGCCTGAAGCCACAGTCTCTTATTCCAGGTCTTCTTCTGGTTGGCATAATTTAGCCAAACCATGTTGTAAAAATCCTTTTCCAAAAAGAAATAAAAACAGTGCAAATTTGTTTTCTCTGATGTTAGAAAACATGGTGTGTTGTGTAAGTTTTAAAGTGTAGATGGAATTGATTGGATAATACTGCTAATGAATTCAGGGTCCTCTGTATAATTATTTTGGCTGTTTGGTTAACTTAGTTGAGGGAAAAATGCTGTTCTGTGGCTGTTAACCTGGTTAGATACCACACAGCTTTATGCTGATGACCACTCGGGGACCAGACACAGAGATAGTAAGAATGGCTCAAATCAGTCCGTTATTTCCACTAGGAGAACAACGCTGAGCATGCGCATTACAGTGTTTTTATGAGGAAGTTCAAGTGAAAGGGGAAGAATTCTAATTAAGGAAACCAGTTATGCATATTAGACTCTGTGGTTAGTTAATACATCTGAACATACCATTTGTTTTCCTGTGTTTATATAAAGATGGTCTCGGATTTTTATGAAATTACTCTATGAAGTAATTCTTTAGTTTTTAATAATAGTTTATAAGTTAAATCCCATTGACTAGTGCTGTTCATAGAATTTCAAGGATGTGTATCAGTCACATAAAGTCTAAACTGCAAATAGTTATTGAATACCTGTATTAATCAAGATTCTCCAGAGAGAGAGGATCTCTTTTGCACTGCTGGTGGGAATGCAAACTGGTGCAGCCACTCTGGAAAACAGTATGGAGGTTCCTCAAAAAATTAAAAATAGAACTACCCTGTGACCCAGCAATGGCACTACTAGGTATTTATCCAAGGGATACAGGTGTGCTGTTTCGAAGGGGCACATGCACCCCCATGTTAATTGCAGCACTATCAACAATAGCCAAAGTATGGAAAGAGCCCAATGTCCATCGATGGATGAATGGCTAAAGAAGGTGTGTGTGTGTGTGTGTGTGTGTGTGTGTGTGTGTGTGTATACACAGACACACACACATATTTATCCAAGGGATACAGGTGTGCTGTTTCGAAGGGGCACATGCACCCCCATGTTTATAGCAGCACTATCAACAATAGCCAAAGTATGGAAAGAGCCCAAATGTCCATCGATGGATGAATGGCTAAAGAAGGTGTGTGTGTGTGTGTGTGTGTGTGTGTGTGTGTGTGTGTGTGTGTGTGTGTGTATACACAGACACACAGACACACACAGACACACACACACACACAATGGAGTATTAGCAATCAAAAAGAATGAAATCTTGCCATTTGCAACTATGTGGATGGAACTAGAGGGTATTATGCTAAGCGAAATTAGAGAAAGACAAGTATCATATGACTTCACTCATATGAGGACTTCAAGACACAGAACAGATGAACACAAGGGAAGGGAAGCAAAAATAATATAAAAACAGGGAGGGGGACAAAACGTAAGAGACTCTTAAATACGGAGAACAAACAGAGGGTTACAGGAAGGGTTGTGGGAGGGGGGATGGGCTAAATGGGTAAGGGACATTAAGGAATCTACTGAAATCATTGTTGCACTATTCACTAACTAACTTGGATGTAAATTTAAAAAATAAAGAAAAGATTCTCCAGAGGGAAAAAAACAATAGGAGATATATAGATGTAGATATCAACATATACCTTTATATACATTTATCTTTCCATACACAGACACACACACAGACGTTTAAATTTTCTTTTAATGTTTATTTACTTTTGAGAGGGAGGGTAGGGGCAGAGAGAGAAGACATAGAATCGGAAGCAGGCTGCAGGCTCTGAGCTGTCAGCACAGAGCTGGAACTCATGGACTGTGAGATCATGACCTGAGCTGAAGTTGGACATTTAAATGACTGAGCTACCCAGGTGCCCCCAAAGACATTTAATATAAGAAATTGGCTTGTTTGATTGTGGGGATTGAGAAATCCCACAATCTGCCAACTGCAAGCTGGTGACCCAGGAAAGTTGGTGATACAAATTCTAATCTGAGTCCGAAGGCCTGCGAACCAGGAGCACTGACAGTTTAGGTCTAGTCCAAGGGCAGGGTAAGACTGCTGTCTTGTCTTAAGCAGTCAGGCAGAGAAAGAAAACGTGAGTTCTCCTTTCGACCTTTTGTTCCTTCAGACTCTCAGTGGATTGGGTGATGCCCGCCCACAGTGAGGAGGGCAGTTGTGCTTAAGTCTACCATTTCAAATGCTGACCTCATCTAGAAACATCCTCACAGACACATCAATAACGTCAAAACCTGGGAATCTCATCATGTGATCAAGTCGGCATGTAAAATTAACTATCATAGTACCAATTCTTGGCCCACTAAATTGAAAATATAGATTATCATTGAGAAACCAAGGTCATTTGGCCTAGTAAGTGCCCATGGTCTAGGTTTTGCTGATCTCACATTTATGGTAAAGTTGTACGTGTTCCTCGGCTCTATGTATTTCCTGCAAATTGGCAGCTGGATCCAGAGGCTTCATCCGACTTCTCCTTGATCCCTTTGATAAGATTAGGGTGATACTGTATTCTTTCCTCAGGAGGCACATCATGTCTTTATTGATGTTGTCAGCAGCTGTTCATGTTCGGTGCATAGATCTTTTGGTTCTTTGGTGGTTACAAATGGCAATATTTTAGGATTTATTTTTTATTTATTAGTTGAAATCCTTTTTGAAGAGCTGCTTCCCTTCATCTATTTGACTACTCATATGGGGCAAGATAAATGACTTTTTCTTTATCATCAGCATAATGAATTGGTTCCTTATCCTCTAATGGCAACTCATTGGAATTTTTTACATATTATTGTGAACTCATAAATTGTAACATATTTGGTGGGTTTCAATCAATTACAATTATTATCCTGTTTAAAGCCCACATTGTCCCATCTTTGGCCAGTGGGAGCCTCTTTAGGTTGGCCCCTTAGTATTTTTGATGTGACCTGGTGGACTTTGATAGCTTCCTTACTATTTGATGTGACAAAAGTTCCAGAACTATCTTGTATGTTTCCTGCCCCAGATCTGGAATCAATCATTACCTAAGAATCTCTGTTTGTTTTGTTTTGTTTTAGTGGTAAATTATATTTTAAAACACAATCTGCCTGCTAGGACTCTATCTCTGCTGGGCTGATCTTTATTTATTTCTAGTCCTTTTTAGTGGAAAGAGCTAGGTGTTTGTTTGTTTATTTGTTTGAGTACAAGTGCCTCATAAGGTCATAGTGATACTTCCTGTTCAAAGTCAGGATACCACTACCAAATAATTACTAAAACAGTTAAAAAGATTGTGTGTGTGTGTGTATGTGAACTCCCCATTATTCCCAATTTTAAACATAGATGTGCAGTATCTGAAGATTCAGCCACTGGGTGCACTCTCTCCGCTCTGGCTCTCAGTGAGTCCTAGTTGTACAGGTAACTATGTGTGACACCACCAGTCCTGATGTGGACCTCCCTCCAGTAGATTTTTCAGAAGTGCTCACGGGAACAGTATTCCCTGAGTTCTGGCATGTTTGTATCCCTTGTACATGAAGTCATTTGGTGGATTTAAAATCCTTGGCTCACGTGTTCTTTCCTTGAGTGCCTTTAATCGGTTGCTTTCAGTTTTGTGTCTGGCATGAAGTGCTGCTGTCGAAGAGGGAGGCTAATCTAATTCTTCACCACCTTAAAAGTCAGTATTTTTCCTAGATGCCCAAAGGCTTTTTTCCCCCCTTTTTTAGAAAGCCCAGTAATTTTAGCAGAATGTGTCAATGTGTTAGTCATTCTGGGTTGTTATTTTCAGGTACACGGGACGCTTTCAGAATTCGGTTCCAGAAACTGTTTCTTTTATTTTTTATTTTTTATTTTTTTTAATTTTTTTTCAACGTTTTTTTTTTTTATTTATTTATGGGACAGACAGAGACAGAGCATGAACGGGGGAGGGGCAGAGAGAGAGGGAGACACAGAATCGGAAACAGGCTCCAGGCTCCGAGCCATCAGCCCAGAGCCTGACGCGGGGCTCGAACTCATGGACCGTGAGATCGTGACCTGGCTGAAGTCGGACGCTTAACCGACTGCGCCACCCAGGCGCCCCAGAAACTGTTTCTTTTAATTTCAGGGAGTTTTTTTTCAATTTTATAGCTTTTAATAATTGCTTTTAATTTTTCTTCGGTGACTTCTGTTAGCTGTATGCTGGAGCTCTACTGCCTAGCTTTACTGCTCGCAACTTTCTTTCAGACCCTTTTAATCTCTTTCATTTCTGTTTCATTTAGAAGATTTCCCTCTTTTTAAACTTTTGTTTCTCTTAATATACTATCTGTTGTGTTTATTCACTTTTGCGTTCTAATATAGTCATTATTTCTGAATTGATTTTTTAAAAATTCTTTCATGAATCCTGTCTCCTCATTTCTGACTTATTTTGTCTACTCATGGCTTGTGTCATTTTATTAACGTCTTTTAGCTCATGTTGAAATAAAAGGTTATTTGATCCGATCTATGAGCATGTCAGTCTGGCTTGCTTTTATTGTCTGTAATGTTACTCTCCTTATTTTCTTTTTTCTCATAATAACTTTGTGTGGCATTTGACCTTGCTGCTTGGCTGTTGCTATTTTTCTTTTCTTTTTTTTTGAAACAGCTCTTTTTATTTGTAAAGCTTATTACTCATTTAGAGAGAGTGTGAGCAGGGAAGGGGCAGAGAGAGAGGGAGAGAGAATCCCAAGCAGGCTCCGCACTGTCAGCGCAGAGCCTGATACAGGGCTTGATTCAGAAACCATGAGATCACGACCTGAGCCGAAGTCAGATGCTTAACTGACTGAGCCATCCAGGCGCCCCTGCTGTACTATTTTTTACGTTAAATTAGTTTTGCTGCCCTTTCAGAGAAAGGCCTAGTGTCGGGTAGCTGGTCTTATTCCACAGAGCCCACTTTTCTTCTGTGTTGATGCATTATTAAAAACGGTGGTGGCCTGCTTTCTGGTTTCCTGGCCCTATTCCCTTCCTCTGTTTTTTATCTGGACCTTTCTTCCCCCCTTTGTCTCTCTCTTTTTTTTTTTTTTAAGTTTATTTATTTATTTATTTTGAGAAAGAGAGCGTGCAAGAGCAAGGGTGGGGCAGAGAGAAAGGGAGAGAGAGAATCCTAAGTAGGCTCTGTGCCGACAGCACAGAGCCCCACTTGGGGCTCCATCCCACACTCTGCGAGACCATGACCTGAGCTGAAATCGAGTCAGTCCCTTAACCGACTAAGCCACCCAGGCACCCCTATCTTGAGGTTATTATAGCTATTTTGTCATTTAGTTTTATAGTATATGCTGCCTATGGGTTTTTGGTTTTGAGATCTAGTTGCACTGTCTTGTTTCATGTTAAGATTTAGAGAGATTAAAAAACTATGCTGCCATAGCCACCATCTTTCCAGAATCTTTAAATTCATAAAATTCCAGCATTTTGGCATTAAAGGGGTTTTTTCTATCCAGAGAAGTAATCATCTCAGAGCTAGTGACTAGATTCAGAACCAGGGTTATGAGAACTCAGTCTTCTGATTTGCAGACAAGTGTAGTCGACTGCATCATAGCTACTCTCTTTATCATTCAGAAGGTACTATCACTGCTCTCTTTCAGTGACATTTACTGTCGTCCTTTTGTGTGACACTTTTGGAGATGGCACGGAGCAGTGAACTAATTTTGAATTAGTATTCTTCTGAATTGTGCCATACCAATTTGGTGTTCAAAATAATGTTTTTCTTGGGGCGCCTGGGTGGCTTAGTTGGTTAAGCATCGAACTTCCGCTCAGGTCATGATCTCACGGTTTTGTGAGTTCGAGCCCCATGTCGGGCTCTGCGCGGATGGTGCAGAGCCTGCTTGGGATTCTGTGTCTCTGTCCCTGCCCCACTCATTCTGTCTCTCTCTAAATAAATAAACTTAAAATTTTTTTTAAATTAAAAAAACCCAAAATAATGTTTTTCTTAATTTATGAAATGCTGCTGTGTTTCAATCTAATTTCCGTGGAGTTGCATAGCTCAAAGGATTCAATACAGTCATCGTGCTCGTTCATGCAGGTCAGTGATTTATTCAGCAGGTGGTCCTTGCTCTCCACTTTGTGCAAGCCCTGCATCAGGTTGATGTTTTAGATATTGTGATGATGCACCAGACAGGCAAGCAAACAGGCATTCTCTACAGCAGGAGAAATGCTGCGTTAGAGAAAATGGCGGCTGCAGCAGGAACACATTATATGGCCTCTAACTTCCTTGGGGTTCAGGGAAGTCTTGTTAGCAAAAGTAATGGAAGTCAAGGCCTGAAAGTTTAGCAGGCACTAACAGAAGACTAGTAGAGATAAGAGGATCCAGGTAGAGGGAACAGAATATGTAAAGGTACAAAATCAAGAAAACCAAAACAGAATATTCAAGAATATATTAATAGTTACTAAAGCTGATAACCAAATTAATGACTGGAAACAAGAAATAATGCTATAAATCAGCATTACGAGGGTATTTTTAAAGCAGATGTCATTGTTTTTTTTAATTGGAGTAGAAATTTGACTGTGGACTTGGTAGAGGGTTAGAAAGTTCTATAAACTGGCAGATAAAATAGCAGAATGGGCAAATGCATCTGTTTTGCATTTGCACATGTGTTGCTTTTATTGTAGGTAGTTTCTCTACCTCTTTTTTGGACAATTGGCTAATTCCTTATTTTAGAATAATAATATGGATAGATGTGAGGAAGCTTTCATTTGTGTTTTATGATTACTTAAAATATAGATAATTCTTCTAAGACACTAAAATATTTGTATTTGTCTTTTACAGACTGTAAGCAAGAGGGCTAATTGATGTATTCTGTGTGGACTCACTATTACTTTTAGCATATTTTTTCTATGGAAATGTAACCTAGTAAATAAAGTGATTTACCATATAAAATTTTTAAAGTATTGTCTTACTAGTGTTCCCTACCCCGGTAAAAGAAATCTGTAAATATTTTGTATATTCAAAGTAAAAATCTAAGTGTGTAAAGTGTCTGTGTCTTTTATTTTTGAAAACTAGGTTGGTGTGTGATTTGCCCTCCATTTAAATGTTAGAGTTGACTTAGTTTCAGAGCTGGTGCCCCGAGTTTCCCACAAAAGGTTTCCTGCATCTGCTGGCTGTTACTGATAAGAATCCAGTGTTTAAGCCTTTTGTTTATCTGAGGAAATTCCTGTTAGGTGTGTGCACATTCCCCTTTGTTCTCAGTATTAGCCTTAGTAAGTCTGGCCATAAGAATCTTACACAACACTCTATTCTTTTAGCAAAATCCTTTTGCAGATGGGGGATACTTTTCTGTATGTGATTAAGATGGGCATGGGCTTATCAGAATCTGCTGACCATTATTCTGTATCGACCAAAAGATTCTTCAGTTAATGCGAAGTTGCTTAATTGGCTTAAAAAATAACATTTGTGCACATCATTTGGCAGATATTCTTCATTGGAAGTACGTTTTTGGCGATATGAAATAAATTTACTATAAATATGTCTGATTAAAGTTTGAAGAGGCCTTTGAAGTGGATACTCATTGTAGTAAATCAAACAATTAATGGGTTTTATTTAGGTATATTTTGGTGGTATTTGAATGTTCTTCTTTTGTGATATCCACTACATCCCACGCTACAAGTATAAACTCTTCAATATTTAGAGGCTGAGGTTTACAGTTTCAGTTAAGTCACACCTGCTATTAAAGCCAAAATTGTTGTGCCCAAAGAAGTATTCTGGCAGCTGCACATTGCCATTTTCAACCAGGAAAGCTTTACAATGCCTTTGATTCTTGACCTCCCATCAGGAAATGGTTTTGGCAAGAACCAGTGACAAATTCTCTTACTTATGTGAAAGAACAGTAAACAATATTTTCTGAACGATTTATTACTTATGTCACCTTTTGTTTGTTTAATCAATCATAACCTTTTTCTTTGAAAATTTGAAAAGTTGTTTTTTGCAGTTTGTTTTGGAAAATTTATGGTTTCTTAGCTAAACTGAATCCTTAGAATAAGATAGGCTTATTACTTATGTAAATATTTATATAAATAGATATTTGTAAGAAGTTTTCATAAATTTTTGTCAAAGGGAAGAAAATAGAGTGCTTCATTACTTAAAAACATCTTCAATCTTTAGATTCCAACAAAAACTCATTTCTCATTTCAGGCCTTTGAAGACCTCAGCAAGCTAATGGTCAAGGTATATGTAACTTACACCTATTAAATTCTTACCAATTATGATGTAAGTTTTGAACTTGTGTTTTGTTAAGAAGGCACTTTAGGGACTTTTTTTTTTCAGTCTTTTGCTGTTCTCTTCACAGGCTAAGGAAATGGTGGAGTTATCAAAATCAATTGCTAATAAGATTAAAGACAAGCAAGGTGACATCACAGAAGATGAGGTAAATAGATTGCTTTTTTAAGGCATTAGAAACCAGGTTACACAAATAACAGTGATGTTTCAGTGGTTTAGCAGTTTCTTTCTTAATGGAGTGTTTTCTTTTAGGACTTGCGAGTATATGAAAGTGCTAACGAAAAAGTCAACCATAAAAACTTTGCTGGTTCTAGTAGGATTAAAGGATACTTCTGTACATTCTCTTAGAGTGTGGAAAAGAGAGATATTGAAATGTGGAAGGAGTGGTTGTTTTATACATATCCATAAATTTGATACTTGTTTCAGTAAATTTCAGTACAATCTGGTCACAGCCATTTTCCTTTCTAAGTTTTTGGCTCTATCATTTGGTTGGCCTTAAATACAGCATAGTTGCTCCCTAGCCGCTTCTCACACCAAACTCATGAGTTCAGTGGAGTATGAGATATCAAGATAGAAAAAAGAAGAAGAATTAGCTTCACACAGGGAACTACTGGAAATCCACTTTCTTAGAATTCACACTGTCAAAACACAGTAGAAGAAATGGGTAGATACAGATATAATTGAGTAGAATTGAATTTATGATAGAAAGATTTTCAATGTTGGGGTGGAAAGACTAATTCTGCTTTTTAGTCTTTTTGTGCACTTTCTCCTCTTATTATAGACCATCAGGTTTAAATCCTATTTGCTGAGCATGGGAATAGCTAACCCAGTTACCAGGGAGACCTGTGGCTCGGGCACACAGTACCACATGCAGCTGGCCAAACAGCTGGCTGGGATACTGCAGGCACCGCTGGAGGTAAAAACAAAACCTGAGTGGTCTCTTTCGGTTGTGTTAAATTTTCTCCGTGTCATCGGAAATCTTAACAAGAGTTTAACTCCTTTCACAGTATGGTTACTATTCAGCCAACACGTTATTTTTTGTTCAGGAATATTAAATTAGTGGGTTTTGTTTTTTTTTTGTCAAAATCTAAGTTGTTTTCAGTTCCCATTTCAGATATCTGTAACTTCCTAAATCTATTTGATATAAAGTTTTTCTTCTCTCCTGTTTTCAAAAGGAAACATATGATCTCTAGATGTTTACATATATTTCTATATATCTAGTCTGAATATATAGTGTACTGTTATAATTTGATAACACAGGTATATCTTCTAACATGACTCAGGCAATCAAAACTTTACTTATTAAAGCACTCATATTAAGAAGTATTTCCAACATGACAAAATAAGAAAAATATAATGAATCCCTGCATGCCCATCATCCAGGTTTATCTGTAAACATTGTCCACTCGAAATTATTTTAAAGCAGGGGCACCTAGGTGGTTTAGTTGGTAAGTGTCCTGACTCTTGATTTCAGTTCAGGTGATGATCTCACAGTTGGTGTGTTTGAGCCCCGTGTAGGGCTCTACACTGACAGTGCAGAGCCTGCTTGGATTGTCTGTCTTCCTCTCTGCCCCTCCCCGACTTGCAGGCCCACACTCACGCACTCTCTCAAAGCGAATAAATAAACATTTAAAAAATATTATTTTAAAGCAAATCCAAGACATCACATTACTTTATCTGTCAATTTTTCAGTATGTAATTACAATGATAAAGATGCCTGTAATGTAATTATAATCCCATTTCACAAATTAAAAATTATTTTCAATACAATCAAATACCTACTTAGTGTTCACATTTTTTCTTATAGTTAGTTTGTTCAAATCAGGATACTTTGCAATTGGTTGATTTGCCACCCAGGTGTTTTTTTTTTTGTTTGTTTGTTTGTTTTTAATTCCGTGGGTTTCCCTCTCCTCTTTTTTTCTCTCCTATAAAATTTATTTACTGAAGAAACTAGTGGTTTTTCTTATAGAGTGTCTCAGAGTCTGGATTTTGCTGACTTGTATGTTAACATACTTCCCTGCCTTATGTATTCCCTGTAGACTGGTAGTTATATCTAGAAGTTCTTTTTTTTTTTTTTTCTGCTGGATATTTCATAGAGGGTGCTGTGCATTTCTGTCAGCAGGTACAGAATGTCTTTTTTTTGTGTGATGTTAGCAGCTACTAACACTCAATGTCTAGGTCTGTTACTTCATTAGAGATTACAATGGTGATATTGCCATTTAATTCTATAATTTTTTCATTTATTAGTTGTAATACTCAAAACATTTAAATACACTTTTTGAAACTTGGTGTAGAGGCCCTCTTTTCATTTATGTAAATGTTGAAACAGTAGTAATGATGTTAAAGTCCAAATACTGAATTTGAAATGCTTCACGTATCTGGCTAGGTCTTCCTGTGTGCAAATTTAGTTTTTAAAAGGCTTCTTAGGAAATTTTATGAATCCTGATTTCACTCTGCTTATGATTTCTGTTAAGGAATGCTAACTTGTGTGAACTATAACATAATACTTTTTAAATTTCGTATTTTAACAGGAACGAGGGGGAATAATGTCACTTACGGAGGTATACTGTTTAGTAAACCGAGCTCGAGGAATGGAGGTAAGAATAGAACATTTAGATATTCTTTTAACTAAATATAGACTTTCTTAACATAATACAAGTTCCCCTGCAGTGAATACAATTTGAGGAAGGGTTGAGAATATCAAAACCATCTGAGAAGCAGTGTGGTGCAGTGACAAGAATGCTGTCCTGCCCTGGGGATCTAGGAGGTAAGCGCTCTTCCTGGTTTTACCAGTGACATGCTGATTGACCTTGAGTAGCTTACTTTTAACTTCACTGAGACTCGGTTGTCCTACGTCTAAAACAAGGATTTGGACTGATTGATACCTTCTGGCTTTAATATTCTGTGTTTGTATTGTGATTAGTAAGGTTGTGTATGAGGCCTTTTCCCTGTGACAGTTCAGTGTTTGGACTAACTGGGTTGGACACAGATGGCCTGGAGAGAAACAGAGGGAAAGCTGCCCTCTGCCTTTGGCCGTGAATCAGCAGTGGCTGCTCTTCAGCTCTCATTGCCCCTTCACACCCACATGTGTATGGTCCGTGCACTCTTTGTGCCCTTCAGTCAAACAGTTTTGCGGTGTCAGCGGTCACCTCTGTGCAGAGAACTCCTACATCTTTCAAGCGCCCACCCCAGGTTCACGAGCAAAGCCTCTGCTCTGTTTTCATTTGAATAGTCCTCAAGACTGCCGTCAGTGAGTACCTCCTACTGGCCAGGCCTCCCAGCACCTCAGTGAGGCAGCTACTTTTACTGTCCCCGTCTTGGGGATAATATGAGGATGAGGAACTTGAGGCTTCCAGAGATTAAATTATTTGACCAAAGCTGCACCTGGAAATAGAGGTTTGACAGGCATTCGGACCCAGGCTGGGCCTATGACTCAAAGCTGTATTTGTCAAACGCCACAGTGGGCTGATTCTTTAAGGTTGCATGGGTCTGGAAGGGTGGCCACTAGCTAGCTACATGTGACGACTGTGAACTTGAAATACACCTAATCCAAACTGAGATATGCTGTAAGTGTAAATTACACACCAGATTTAGAATACTCAGTACAGAAGAAAGAAATGTTAAATATCTCATTGATAATTTTTATATTGATTATATGTTGATGTTTTAGATTTATTGGCTTAAATAAAATACATGTTTTAAAATTAATTTCACCTGTTTCTTTTTATTTTATTAATATGACTACTAGAAGACTTAGAGTTACATATACGGCTTGCATTGCTTTCTGTCGGATAGCACTGCTTCGCTTCTTTGTTAATCCTTTTTTCCTTGTGGTGATTAAGGCAACATGAAAGCCTTGCTAAATGATTATTTATTTATTTATTTATTTATTTTAAATAAAAAAAAAAAAATAGACTCCACACCCACCATGGGCCTTGAACACACGAGCATCACTCTGTTATTTTGTAGTATAAACTGGATTTTCTTTCCTATTAGTTGCTCTCACCAGAAGATCTAGTGAATGCATGCAAGATGCTGGAAGCACTACAGTTACCTCTCAGGTAAAAGAACCTCTGCAGGAAGAGTGCCAGCTTGAGCCACTGTTCCTCACACAGTAGACAGGAAAACCCTGCCAGGTCTGCCCACACAGGTCTGTGCATGGTGAACCAACACATCGCCCCTCTGGGAATTATACCGTGTGAGCAGAAATCACTTGTTCTCCTAGCTTCCCTCCTTATCGGGGCTGTACATGGCCTGAGGGGCTAGTGGGCCAACTCTTGTTGATTTGGGGCAATGAAAGAAGAATGTGGGCTCTCCTATGAGGTCAGAATAACCAGCCCCTCTGCTAGACGTTTCGTGCTTGTTTCTGGAGATTTAAAACTACAGATGTTCAGCTGTGAATTGTATTTTCCTCCCTTCAGATTAAAAAAAAAAAAAAAAGTGCCAGACATATTTTATTTAGCCTGTGGATTATAGTTCATAATGTTATTAACTGTATTTATTCGTGAGTTCCTAGTTATGCTGTAATTGCCTGTGGTTGTTATGTTTTAGATGCTGTTTTGTGGTAATATTGCCCTCATGCCCAGCATAAAAGAAAGTACAGGATATTTGTACCTCCTTAGTGGTTGAAGATCCTAGATACTCACAGCTTGGTTTTCCCATCTGCGGTTTTCAGGCTTCGAGTTTTTGACAGTGGCGTCATGGTAATTGAGCTTCAGTCCCACAAGGAAGAGGAAATGGTGGCCTCAGCCTTGGAGACCGTATGTGAACCAGTTTCCTCATTAGTCTGCCCACCAAGACGTGACTCCATAGCAACTTGAGAAACAGGCTTTCCTTTTGAATTTAATTTTTCTAAAAAGTAATGTTTGTAGACCCAATTAAAAACACCTATTAACCTGAGTGAATACTAATCAAAATGATACTTTTAAAGCTTTTTGAGACTTGCCAAAGAGAATTAGAATTCCTGAGGTGTTATCTTTTTGTTTGAATCTCAGTCTTGTGGACAAGTTTTTAACTTTGTTCATCAGAATGTTACCCTTGACTGAACTTTTTCTTTCAGTACCACCTACATAAACAGTCTTATAAAACATCACAAGTTGTTTTATGAAATAATTGCTTCAAAAAAACACGAAAAGGAACTGTAGTTTAGATGGATTTTACCAGCCAAACTACTGCTGTTACTCATTAGGAGACTTGAAACATTACTGCCTTCATAGCCTCTGTGGCGAGCCTGCCTAATTTAAATATTTATTACATTTATTTTAAATTAGAGGAAAACCTCAAGACTATAGATATTTCTACCATATATTTTAAGCTAAACCTATATATGAGAACCCTATATGTGGGACATGCAGTGTGTACTCCATTAGAATTTATTATATGTTCCTTTTCAGAATATCAAGGGTTATTTTGGGGGTTGAGTACAGTGCCTTTGTAACTTTGTAGAGGGCTTCATGATGTTTTAGGCTCTGCTATATTCATTCTGGGCCCTCCCGCATTTGTAGAATTGAGCATTAGTGAAGAAGATTTAGTTCAATATTGAATATTCTTGAGTTTTATTAGGAAATTCAATATATTATTTCCTGAGCATAATGGTAGACATTCTCCCTAGGTTAGTACCTAGGTGGCCAAATTATCATATTTTTTTCCTGCTGTGTTTCTGTTAGGTTTCAGAAAAGGGATCCCTGACATCAGAAGAGTTTGCTAAGCTGGTGGGAATGTCTGTCCTCCTGGCTAAGGAAAGGTAAGCGAGTCCTTGGTCTTCATTACAACTGTGTTTGTGTTTCTGAATGGACAGATGATTGTGGTTTTCCCCTTGACTCCTAGGTTGCTTCTGGCAGAGAAGATGGGCCATCTTTGCCGAGATGATTCAGTGGAAGGCTTGCGGTTTTACCCAAATTTATTTATGACACAGAGCTAAGGGTTTTGGATTTAAAATACTTCTTGTCCATACACTTGTATCATGTAGAGGTTGTATGACATTGAGCTCAGAGTAAACCTTGATGAACTGAGAATTTCTGGAACTTTACACTATAATATAAAACCCTTTTAATTTCTCCCTAAATATTACGGTCCAGGAAGTTTACTTAGGATAAATACAGGAAAATACAGAAAACTGAATGCCACAGTGAGTTGGAAATCATGCTACAGTTGTATAGAGCCCTCAGGGTTTAACTTGAAATATGGTGAATTTTAACTTGATCCTCAAATCTGTTTTTTTAAATAAGGGAATTTAGTTATTAATGGGGGAAGAAGTTGAGTGTTTGGACAGGTTAGATCATTTTTCTGGTGTGACTAAGATTCACTGAATTATAAACAAAGTTTTTCCTCTGCATCTAATGTGCCCATTATGGGAGAGGGTTCATGAAGCAAGTCATACGTACAGTGTAGCTTAACTGACAACACTGAACAGGACGTGAAACCACAGAACGCCACATGAGGCTTCTCCTAAGTAAGGGCTTTTCTTTAGAAGCAGTTATAAGCATGTCTTCAACAGACACCTTAAAAAAGGAGAGAGTTGTATTTGACTTACGTATGTATAGTCTGACTAGTTTTTTTTTTCCAAGTAATGATTTCATAGCTGGCATTTAAAGAATGCAACTATGTCATTTTGTTTTAAAAATGCTGTGGATTTTGAAACTGAATTAATGAGCTGTATAGACACGCCCAGAGATGTGATTACAAATTTGGAACTTAGAGGGTTCAGGAATACCCTAGGGTTGTGTGGGGGAGGGGCCGGGAGAACCTTTAGGTCGCTTAAACAGGAACCTTGGTGCTCTTTGACCTGGAAAGCCAAGGACAGGAACATTGAAAGGGGAGAAGTAATTGGTCTCCTTTTCCTACTCTTAAGGAGTTTCAACACTGCACTTTAAAAAAATATTTCATATCCCAGCAATATTTTTTTTCTTTACCCCATATATTAGAAGCTGTGTTGAGAAACTATGTCACTAACAGGTATTACCAAGATAACAAAAACTGGCTACTCCTGAATTTCGATTGTTTGAGTTCTAAAATGGACCGCCTGACTTCATCTGTCGGTGTGTTGGCATTACCTCAAACTCAGGGACCCCACAGGGATGCAAAGAGATCCCCTTCTAAGACTGCGTCGAAAGTGGGAAGCAGGGATGGTTTTCGGCCGCGCCTCCAGAAGGGATAGTGTCTGCACTGAGAGACCCATGGTGACCAGCAGGTGGGGATACCCAGGCCTAAGCTCTGGGATCCCTAAGATGTCACTGAGTGAGGTGGAGGGCCCCCTGCAGATGCCCTTTGGGGAGTTGCAGGGATCCTCAGCTGTAGACCCAGGGAATCCCTCCCACTGCAGCCAGAGTCAGTCTCTGACCCCCGCCTGCAAAAGTGGCTGTTGCTGCTTCACATCCTCCAGCGTTACTGGAATGTCTTCATTTTCCAAACTTGTCGCTCATTCTGTCTTGTGATGACAGATAGCCCCTAATGTCCTCATTGTTCAGCCTCAGGTTTGTTTTGGGGGAATTCAGTGTCTAGCCAAACAATGGCCCCGTGTCTTTCAGGCCATCGTGTAGACTTGTTTGTGTGGCACTCCTGTTTCTGGGTCACACTCACACTGCTCTGGCAGACTTGTACACGCATGTTCATATGCACTTGCACACACGCTTACACACATGATGTCTCATCTGGCTAAGGCTTTTCAGAAATTACAAAGGTAAATGATAATCTGTTTCAGCAGTTGGAATGAATTGCAATTGAGATTGTTTGAGCTACTGGATCTAGCTCTTATGATTTGGATTCATTACAGCAAACTCCCACGGTTCAACATATTTATTTACATTAGTGTGACAACACATTAACAGAAATGGAGCAGTCTAAATTGTATAAAGTGAACTAGGAGGAAGAAAAGTGACGTGACTATATTTTGCACATGTCACTTTAATTAGAAAACAAGTATGATTGATTTTACTGTTAAAGTGGGCATTCTTCACTGTTTCTAGACTTATATACGTATATTTTTGATTCCACCCACCCACCCATTCCCTCCCCCTCCTTTTTTTTTTTTTTTGCCAAATAAGATGTTATTTTGGTCTTCTATTGGTAGAAGTTATGTTTAAATACAACCAATCAGGCCCTAAATGCAAAAAAATTCATCTCGGTGCTTATCACTGGTATAATTATTATTTTTGCTTTACTAACTTTGCTCCTAGGAGCATAAATTTGTAGCTTTATGATAATGGGATTTTTCTAGTCACTATCAAAGATTTTTTTACACTGTACAAGTGAAGGTTGTTTTCAGGATTAAATAATTGGAATTAATGTATATAGAGTAAAATTACTGGAAAATTTGTAAATGATTTTTCTTACCTTGGTGTTCTTTTTAAAATACTCTTTGAAAAACATATGAAAATGATAAACTTTTAATCAGAATAAGCCAGTACGTTAAACATTTTTTCTTTATTTTTGACCTCAAGATCTTACTGTTTTAGTTGTTCTAAAAGAATGGGAAATGGCTCATGAATTTTTTTTTTTTTTAATTTTTTGATGTGAATTTCATGGTTGACTAACCTTGTGCATTCACGTGAATGTACTGTCTCTCCAAGTATTGGTTCCCTATAACCAGACTCGCCTGGCCAGACGTGGATTCATCAGGTGGTCATTCTCATGTTCTGCCCAACAATATCAGCGTTTTCATTTTGGTACAGTAGAGTCACACCTATAAGCTGGTTAGATTTTTAAAGACTGTGCCTTGGAATGAAATCAAGCATGCTTAAAATGATCCCTGAAACTCTTAAATTGCCAGTGAAGTTCTTTATATCGTCTTACAGGTAGAATCCCTATAGAGTGACACATGGGTATGAATATATTATGAATATAGTAAGTACAATATACAATAAAAACTACATAGCAACAGTAGACATTTATAACACCAATAATTAAACTATTTAAATGTGTGTCTTGTTTTTGTTTTTTGGCCAAGAGTTATGGTTGAATTTCTGTGAATTTATTTGCTAATCCCATCCCTTATTAAGACAGATCTAGAGTGTGAGCTCCGTAAGGGGAGAGCTTTTTGTCTGGTGTGTTTGTGGATATATCCTCAGAGCCTAGAACAGAACCTGGCACATAATAAGCACTCAATAAATATTAACTGAATGAATGAACTCTCATGTATATACCTATTTATAACCTGGCTCCATTTATCCTACTTTATCTCCCATTCAATTCAATAAAAAAATTTTTTGTTAAAAATCCATATTGACTGTGTGAGGAATTAACGTGGGCCGCCGGTGGGGGGTGGAAACAAAATGAATAAGATACAGTCCCAGCCTTTAAAAGGGTGGCGCCGTTAGGGAAATAGACATGTAAACAACCTTACCTGAAGATCGAATGAAGTACGTGTCATGGAAGGGGCACAGGTACATGCTGTGCAAGACAGAAGGAGGATCCTTTAGTTCTTGTGGGAGAGGAAGAGCCTCATAAACTAGGCTCACAAGGACCAAGAGATCGTCAGTAAGTGGAGGCTGTTGGGTTAGAGGAACAGCATGAGGTGTGCCCCTTCCCGTTCCTGGGGCATACTTCCTTTGACTCTGCAGACTTCCCTTTCTTAACTGTTTCCCCATTCACTTCTCCATCTCCACCCCAATTATCATACTGTGCTCATTCCTACCTGCTTTAGAAAAATCTGTTTTCAGTATATGACTCTATTTCTAAATTCCATAATAGTTATTATCTGTCCTGTGTACATGACTATATTTTGTCTTGGAGCCATAAAAAAATAGAGGAATTGGGTTTCTTTAAAGTTCAAAGATTCAATGGGCGCCTCGGTGGCTCAGTCGGTTAAACATCCGACTTCAGCTCAGGTCGTATCTCACAGTTCATGAGTTCGAGCCCCGCATCGGGCTTTGTGCTGACAGCTCAGAGCCTGGAGCCTGCTTTGGATTCTGTGTCTCCCTCTCTCTCTGCTCTTCCCCCGCTCATGCTCTCTCTCTCCTTCAAAAATAAATAAGAACATCAAAACAAAATAAAACTCAAAGATTCATATAATTGAATCTTTTAAATCTTTTCTGGTTTCGGTCAGTGATTGTACATGGTAGGTTCCTAGTTAAGTATTAGCTGAATACTTGAATGATTTTTGGATTACGATGTGTCATGAATTTACTCGCAAACCTAAGTCTGTGTCCTTTACCATATGCCCAAGAGGTTTCTCAACCAGACTTGTCAGGACTCAGCCCGTCTGAGATACTGTGTCTTACATGACATGGGGCATATCCATGATGTGGGAAGCACGCCAGAAATCAGGTTAACACACGTGTAAGATCTTGTTATTACAGTGTGAAAATTGGGTCATTTGTGTTCTTCCTTGAGTCCTGATAATCATGAGTCAGTTAAAGCTTTTCTCTCAGAGCATTATCTGAGGAAGTAAAAGATCTCTCCATGTGTATAAAGGACACTGTTGAGATTGTGAATGCGTTTTACACAATTTGCACAAAATTACTAGACCAGTCACTGACCCTGAAAGAGAATTAAAGGTACCTTGACAGCAGCTTGTTTTAATTAATCCCAGCAAGACCATATCACTGTTCTTTTGGAAGCTTTTTTTCCCTACATGCCTATGCCGCGTTCCTTTACCAAAAATTACGCCCTTACGTGTGCAAAAAAGACAGAAATGCAGTCTGGCAAGAATTCTGATTAAGACAAAAATGACCAAGCATCTCAATACAGCTGTTACTTAAAAAGTGTCCAAGTGCACCGATCCAGTCACTTGTACCTGGATTTAGGTCCTCCTAAATTCCAAGGGTGGATTTGTAGGGAGAGTGTGTGTCTGCAAGATTAATGCAGAGCAAGTTGCTTTCTATATATATATTCCTCTTGGTCACCACACTACGTCAATACACCTGGGGGAGAGGAGGGATTAAGTGTTTGCCAAGGTTACTGAGGTAGGGCTGGAACGAAGCTTTCTATAACTCCAAAGCCCATTCTTTATGTTGAGCTTTTACTTTCAAAAACGCCAAGGACTGTGGCATGTATTTGAAAAGAAATCCCAACTTGAGCTGATGAATGGATGTTGGGCTAGATGATTCTGTCAGTGAAAGCTTGGATGGATTGAGTTGGTACTGATAGGATTAATTATTGGACAAGATAAGTACTTAGCAAATTTGGTACCTCGGACAACCTCTGACAACTCTGATAATCAAGGAATTGTGCTATCTTTTCAAAGATTAAGTGACGGATTCAAGCACCTGCAAATGCTGTATTTTTGTTTGAAAAATTGAGGTAAAATTTCAGTGAAATGCACAGATCTTAAGATGGACGCATTTTAACAAATGCGTAATAGATCATGTAACTCACACCCCAGCCAACAGAACATATCTGACATCCCCAAAGTTCCCTGGTGCCTCTTTCCAGTCACCTGCTCCCTAGAGGCCACCACTATGTTCTGATTTCTATTACCACACACTACTTTTGTCTGTAAAATGGTATGTTTTGCGTAAAAGAAAAGCAAATGGGAAACTATTCACATTTTTTTCCCCGTGTACTGAAAACCAAGCACAGCTGTTAAGGTGCAACTCTATCCTCTAGCATTCTTTTCAAAAGACAACTTTAACACCTGAGAATTAAGAGTTTATTAAATGTCACTTTTTATGTTTTCAATTAAACCAACTCTGGCTCCTGAGAGAGAAAAATCGAAACTGAGATGCACTTGACCTGATTCTCTTTTGACAATCCCCAAGAACATTTGGGAAGCCAAAGTTTACTGCCCACCAGTTAGGCCACTTGGATGACCTACTTTTGTGGTCCCCCAGAAGAAAATGACACCGGGGGAGAAGTGACTGAATCGGAACGAGGGGAGACCGCGGCTCGCCCTTGGCCCCGGCCGTGGGCCGTGGGCCGTGGGCCGCGGGCGAGGGCGCGTCGCGGCTCTGCCCCGCTCCCCGAGGCTCCGCCGGCCGCGCGCGCTTGGGAGGATGCGCAGCCCAGAGCGGGCGGGGTTGACTTCGCCCGCTGCCCGGCCCCCCGCCCTCCGGTGCCGCCCTCCCTGCGCCGTCCGTCGGGGGCGGGCCTGGGCGGGGCAGCGGAGCCGAGCGCCAGCGGGCTCAGGCGGGCAGTCCCGGGACGCGGGATGCTCTGCGCGTTTCCTCGCGGCCCCTGAGGCCACCAGCCCGCCGCCCGCCGCCCGCCTCGCTCGCCCCAGCTCTGGCCGCTGCGCCCGCCGGTCCCGAGAGGTAGGAAGACCCTGCTGTCCCCCAGCCCCCGTGGGCGCTGCTGTGCTGCCGGAGTCCCCGGCGGCTCCGGGGGGTGGGGGTGGGGGGTCGGGCAATACCCCTCGGACCCTGCCCGCCCCGCCCTCCCCGCCCTCCCCGCCCGCTCGGAGCGCAGGTGGAGGTGCTGTGGAAGCTCCCTCCGCCGCTGGGTGCTCAGCCTCCGCCCCAGGGGATACTCTGTAGAAAGTGTCCGTCTGCGCGTCTCGGAGTCCCGGCTCTCTTGGCACAGGTGTCGGCGGGAGACCCAGGCTGGCTGCAGACTGGTGTTGAGTCCGATGGGTTGGGACCCTTGAAAGATAGCGTCTTGGGGGTGCTCCGCGTTTCTGAACAAGTTTGCCTATTTCCAGAAAGAAATCTTTTCTGGGGTACACACTGTATGAGATTTCAGCATTTCAGAACCGTCCTCGTTTTCATGGAGCTCTGTGCTGACAACTTGGGCAGGGCTAGATTTCCAGGCATGAACTTGACTTGCGGGCCTTTGGGAAACTGTAGATGTGGGGAGCGCACAGCCTCCTAGGGAAGCTGCGTCCAGTCCGTGGGACCAGGGCAGAGCCACTGCACTGAGTGTATAAATAATGCCTGTTTACACAGGCTGCTTTGGAACTAGGGATTTCCGGTTAATAAATATTATTAGATGGATGCACACGAGCGTGTGCCTGTTTGTCAGAAGGGATAGAGTCACTTTGCTTCTTTTTCTTTTCCCTTTAATTCTTCGATAAATCACTGGTCCTAGTAGAGTTTAGGTTAATTCCCTTTCCTTTTCCGCAGCAATGAAGACACCGTAGGAATCAATCTTAACTGGTTTCAGCAAAAGCAGGGGATCTGAGCTCGGCGTGATGCCATTAGCCACTGAAAATATTGACTGCTTCTCCCTACCCTCTAGCTGATGCATTTGGAATTTTTCTGTAAATGTTTATGTCTGAATGCTATATAGAAGTGTTTTTAAATGTGTGTAAAATAGACGTAAGTTTTTATTTTCTCAAAATGATTCTCAAGCCAAACAGTGTGAAAGTAGATAGTCTTGGTATTGGGAACAACATGTTGGAAGACAATAAGCAAACAAAGTAAAAAGAGAGAGAGGAAGGAAGGAATCTTATTTTTTTTAAAAATGTGCTTTTTACCCAGTGTTCCATTCCATTGTGGGGTGCTCTCTTAAGGTCTTCAAATTAGTGAATGGGCTAGTAAAACTTAAGCATTTATTTTCAAAAGCTTAAGAACATTTTAAAAATCCTTATGATTTTTAGGTAGGTTTATTTTTCCATTTCCATTCAGTTCTAAATACAGATTATCACACTATTCTGTGTTTTCCTCATCATTTTTATAAGAAGGAAAATGTGTTACAATCACAACATCAGTTGCGATTAGGAGCTTCTTTAAAAAATGGTTATCATGGAAAATCAAGCAATTTGGGAGGAGCCCATCCAACTTTTGGGAGCCAGGGATCCTTGCCCCCCCTTACTCTGGTTACTTGAGTATCAGTAATTCAAAAGGAAGCGTTTTATTGCCATAAGTGCCCAGACTTGCCTGGGGGATACGGAGATGTTCACCTGCTGTCTTCGACCATGTTTCCCAGTCCAGGTTCAAGGAAAAGATTGGGTCAAATCTATGCCTAATTCCAGCAAAGTGGAATTTTCTTTTTATGTTGGGGAGGGGAGTGACCCTTAATCATCTGCCTAATTACACTTCAAATCTCTGCTTCCCTTTGAGGAAGTACAGTGTTTCCTTTGTTCAACCAACTCCTACTGAAAGAAAGCTAATAGAGACAAATCAGTCCCCCACCCCCCCCATCGTTGATTTTTTTTTTTTTATTATTTCAACAGGCCTTTTAATTCCATTAATGTCTGTCTTTTCTGAAGAGATGTACATATATATTTGGAATATAGTATATTATTAAAATAGACTAACTGGATAATGGGGAAATGTAAACACTAAGAAAAGACCTGGTTGATTATGCTTACTAGCCCATAGTTTAGTAGATTTCAATTGAAAAAAATTGACAAGGGCCCTGAATCTTATTCTACAGTCTAGTCTATTTATAGACTAGTCTATTTATAGACAAAGTAAGTGCCCCCTCCCACAAATCGTTCTGAAGCACAGGCCAGCAAGGTATTTCCTACCCTCCTAGGTGGTCTGGCAAGACTGCTGCATGAAATCATCTGCCTCCTGATGCATTACTGACAGCAACAAGTATTGGGAAACTGACAGAAGATGATAATTGTTATTTATCTGTTTTCTCTTGAGAGTACCCTAAACAATGGAAGTCAGTGTCACAGGGAGTTCACATTTAAATGCAACACTCTGAGTATCTTTTTAAAAGGCTTGATAGTTTTGATATAGCTCCTAGGCATTAAGAAATGAAGCAATCCAGATAACATGCAGGAAAGACAGTGGTTGTAAGTCCATTTGTAGAAGCGAGCCCGGTCAATGAAGCACAGTGCAAAATGAAAATTTGGCAAAATTTTAGCAAATTGATTGGCGTGAAAATGCCAAATAGGTGGAAGTGTATTATCCAGACTGGCTCTTAACTTTGATGAAATTCAGCACATAAATTCTCCACTTAAGCATGTGTTACAAAGATAAGAGACTTGGTGTTTTGCAAAAATAAGCTTGGTGTTGGACACACCTGCATGTGCTTAACAGGTGAGCTGTAATGGAACCAAAGGGACGTACAAGCACAAGTCATTTCCCCGGGGAAAATTAATGTCCTCCCTATTTTCAGTGGCACCCATGAAGTTTGACTTCTCAGAATGGTTTTGCCATTTCATGATTACTATTTTGTGAATCACATTGAACAGAGGCATCATTTTTTGAGATTCTAATTTCAGGTGTTTTTGAAAAAAAAAACAACACAAAAAAACACAGTTTGGATGTGAGAAAGGACATGAGGAGACCAAAGACCTGGGATTTTGCTGATCAGAATGAAACAAATGTTGAAAGACTTTTCAAATCTACTCTTGGTGGTACTTTGTGACTATGGTGAGTATTATTAAGTATACATCATGCTGTCAGTGTCAATGAAGAAACATAAATGTGGGGTTTATAAATGCATGGATGTTGATGACCCTGCATGAAGGAGGCAGGGCACGTCTATAGTACAGTACCTTTTAAACTGGAATCCTTGCAACCCTGGGTTCTCTTAAGGTTCTATATATATTGATGCAAAATTCCCTTTAAATATATTTTTAAGCCTTTAAAAAGAGAATTTAAAAAAAGGCATTTCATTTATTAATTTTTTGAAAATTTTTAATGTTTATTTATTTTTGAGAGAGACAGACAGATAGAGCATGCATGGGGATACAGGCAGAGAAAGAGGGAGACACAGAATCCAAAGCAGGCTCCAGGCTCTGAGTTGTCAGCACAGAGCCTGATGTGGGGCTTGAACCCATGAACCATGAGATCATAACCCGAGCCACCCAAGTGCCCCTCATTTTCATTTAAGCAAACTGGAGACAAGCATGTTATGTTGAATTTTCTTTGACTGATGTCCTAGTAATTCGGTATTATACATTAAAACTCTCAGACACACATGAATGTGTGGTTGTTTGTTTGTTTGTTTGTTTTTAATTGGGATTCTCCATTTGATTTCACTTTACAGGAGAGTTTTGCTGTTAAAATATCTTTGGAACCAGTCCAAATTTCTGTCCTTGCCAATTGTTTGCCTTGGACAAGTTTCTTGTTGACATCACAGCGCTGTTGTGATGATAAAATAGGAAAGGGAAAACACCTTGTCTGAGCCTAGAGTAGGTGATTACTGTTACTTCTCTTTATTCACTTTGTTTCAACTGAAAATTGAGTTCGTTACTCAGAGAGTTTTATGCAACTACTGAACCTTAACAGATTCAACAATATACTACTTTTCTTTTGATGATTTCCAAATATTTCATAGACATCTAAGCAGTTCATGGTATAAGAGTGGAAATTGTTTTCAAATTGAAGAAACATGATCCAAGGGATCATGGCTTGTGTGATATCAGTGACACATCCACATAACTGGACCAGAGTGTGGACTGTTCATTTTGTCCATTGAATCGCCTTCCTCATCCTTTTCGTTTGAAGAAGTTTATTTAAACAAGAAGATGCTTGGGGCGCCTGGGTGGCTCAGTCAGTTGGGCGGCTGACTTCGGCTCAGGTCATGATCTCGCAGTCCATGAGTTCGAGCCCCGCATCGGGCTCTGTGCTGACAGCTCAGAGCCTGGAGCCTGTTTCGGATTCTGTGTCTCCCTCTCTCTGACCCTCCCCCATTCATGCTCTGTCTCTCTCTCTCTCTCAAAAATAAATAAACATTAAAAAAAATTAAAAAAAAATAAAATAAACAAGAAGATGCTTGATTTGTTGAAAATGAGCCTGGGATTCAATTATCTTAATGTTATTCATCCCTAGTTAAAATCCCTATCACTCCATGTGTAACAACAGCCTCATACAAAAAATTACAAAAGTGTCCTTGGTTTCGTAATGATAAAGACATCAGAATTTTCCATTTGTACACAGTGTGCAAGGATGTTTGTCGTTGAGAGTAAATATCTTACTGGAATATGAGAATAAAAGTTCAATGAGCATAAAATAACATAGAAGTTGAGTGCACATGCTGCTAATGGAAAAGGAAGTATTTTCCTAGACCTGGGTTTTTTCCCTCCCCATTTGATATTGATCAAAATATACCATTAACAGTTGTTGTTTTTAATGCAACATGCTTATATTGAGACACCAATTACTTTATTTTTTTTTTTTAATTTTTGTTTTCAACGTTTATTTATTTTTGGGACAGAGAGAGACAGAGCATGAACGGGCGAGGGGCAGAGAGAGAGGGAGACACAGAATCGGAAACAGGCTCCAGGCTCTGAGCCATCAGCCCAGAGCCCGACGCGGGGCTCTAACTCACGGACCGTGAGATCGTGACCTGGTTGAAGTCGGACGCTTAACCGACTGCGCCACCCAGGCGCCCCATAGACACCAATTACTTTAAATAAAGGAATGGGGAGAGGCGAACTAAAAGAATGGAGAAAACTACACTGTGGTAGCCAGAATGTGGTACAATTGAATTGTAGTTTTTTAAATGAGGATGTATTCTTGTCTATGAAAATAAGTGTTCTATAGTAAAGCAAGGTCTCTCCTCAGTACTCCTCAGTACACCTGCTCTCTGGGCTGCTGGAACCCATCAACTGTATCTTTTTTTCTCCATTACTGACTGGGCCTGTGTGTCTTTTCAATTTATTGGATGCCCATCAAATCAGAGTCTTATTTGCCTGGTTGACAATCTCTATCATGTTTGTTAGTTATCCTAAGTTGTGTGTGGTCTCAATCTTAAAATGCATTAAAAACTGTCCTGCCCCATGAGATTCAAGTCAATCTGATCTTTGTTCTCAGTCTTAACTCCTTCCTCCGTCTTAACTCCTCTTTAGGCACCTGTTTACAAATAGGTGCTGGGTGGCCTCTGAACCAGGCACAGCTGTGTCAGAATCAGCACCCTTCCTCAACTTTGACTTCTCTCCCTCCAAAAGAGAGTATCTCTCAACTTCCATTTTAACTGAAGGAAAAAGAAAAAAAGAAAAAAAAAAAAACAACAAAACCTTCATTCTATTATGGTTTTCAAGCAAGTGTTGATCAAGCATTCCAGTCTATCCAAGTTTTATATATTTGATTTCATCTCATCTCAAATAAGAAATGTGTAAAGCACTGAGCTGTTTATAAAGGAAAAACAGGGGCATGTGGGGGGCTCAGTCGTTAAGCGTCCGACATTGATTCAGGTCCCGATCTCACGGCTCATGTTCGTGAGATGCGGTTTGAGACTCGCATCCAGTCTCTGTGCTGACAGCTCAGAGCCTGGAGCCTGCTTAGATTCTGTGTCTCCCTCTCTCTGTGCCAGTACCCTGCTCATGCTCTGTCTCTGTCTCTCTCTTTCACAAAAATAAATAAATAAACGTTCAAAAAAACACAAAAAAAACCCTCTATGTGCCAATATATTCACGTACTGATTCTCATGATCATTAACCGAATACACGTGAGGGTATATTTAAAGACCACCAGCCCAGATAACACTTTGATGGCCTTTGGACATATATGATATGTATGCCATGATATGTGTATATTATGTATGTATAAGATAATCACAATAAGAATAATAAATTCATGCTCACACATGTTATTTTTCAAGCCAAAAGAACCCTGGAGTGCCTTAAATCTAGAATTGTTTCTTACCCTAGCCATGGGCCCGCTGATTGTTGCCCTGCCAAATGCTGTCTCCTTTGATATGTATTTGGATAGGATTCAAAATAGAAACAAGGATTCCTGTGTGTCTGTGTCCACTCTTTACTTGAGCTGCTCTGATGGGTTTCTTTTTTAAAAAGATACGATTGATCTTAACTGAGTGATAGTTGTGGGCTAGCAGTCATCTATCACATCGAGGCTAGCAATGGTTACTGTGATGTCACTAAAATTGCCGAGAAGCCTGGCTATTTCATAAACATTCGCTCTATCCCTTGGATGACCTGTGCAGAAGAAAGTGTCAGCAATTCTTATTCATCTAAAAATTTCTGCTTCATACGATCCAAGGGCACTGGTTCCTTTACTAGTGGAAATGCTTAAGTACTTGGCTTGAATATCAGAAAATAACTTGGAAGCATATTTATGTCTTCCATTTTAAGTCATCTACAGCCGTCTGTATTGCATCATGCAAATCAAGTTTTCTCACTTTACTGTTTATCCATTTCCCCCAAATACCTAGACACCAGACTATGATTTATCAAAACAAAACACAACAAAACTCAACTGAGTGAATTTGAAGATCTAATTGGCTTTATGAAGCAATTCCTGAATCAGGCAGCGTCCCATCTAGCAAGTAGCGATGGTCCTAAAAGTTGCACAAAATGGAAGGTTTTTATGGGAAGGAGGGTGGGGCAAGAAGTTATTAGCAAAAGAACAGAAGGGATTATTTTCAGGCCAAGATGTCTTTTTTTTTATGGGGAGTTGGGTGTCTTTAGCAGGTATTTTTTATCATGGAGATAACCTCTCTAGTGCAAGAAATTTCAGATTCCCAGATTCAACCCAGGTAGGTTGAAACTATGAAGTCTGGGTTTGCCATCCTGGGGGGCAAATGTCTCCATGTAGGGCTTTCCCCTCCCCCCTTTTCTTTTTAACAAATTAAAATGAGAAAAGTAAGGTATTGGATTTACATCTTGAGAATGATCAATTGTTACTCTCGCTTTATAGATTTTCATTGCAGATGTGTTGCTTTGCTGAATGCGGTGAATTCAGGGTATTTATCTCTAATTCCTTGTTTTAAGCATAACCATGAAAGAGGATGAACGTGCAGAGCCACTTTAGAATGAAAACAGTGCAGGTGCCCAACTAACAGAATCCGCACTCAGCATCACTCAACGCACCCTTTGGCTGAGTTTCACACTTCTCTTATGTTTAAAGTGCTGCTTTCTTTCATGTCTCCAACAGTGCTGCTCAAAGATCCCTTTGTAAAACCAATTCTCACCATTTCATTTCAGTTCTTGCAGAAGCTGAATACCTCCTCTTGGGAAAGCCCGGCCATGTAGCACTAAGCAACAATACAGTATCGGTGGGTTTCCAGTATGTCAGTGGGGCTAATGGGACGCTGAGGAATGTATCTATCCTGTTGTTGGAGGCCAACACCAATCAGACTGTTACCACCAAATACCTCCTGACCAACCAGTCCCGGGGAACACTGGAGTTCGAATGCTTCTACTTCAAGGAGGCGGGGGACTACTGGTTCACCATGACTCCAGAAGCGGCAGACAACAGCACTCCAGTCCACCTGTGGGAGCAAAGTGCCTTTCTCAAGGTGGAATGGCCTGTCTTTCATGTTGACCTGAATAGGACATCCAGGGCAGCAGAAGGCACCTTCCAGGTGGGCCTTTTTACCAGTCAACCACTGTGCTCATTCCCTGCGGACCAACCTGACATCTTGGTGGATGTCATCTTTACCAACAGTCTTCCCGAGGCAAGAACGAGTCCAGGACAGCCGCTGGAGATAAGAACCAGCAAGAGGACACAACTCTCTCAAGGTCAGTGGGTTGAGTTTGGCTGTGCACCCGTGGGGCCGGAAGCCTACGTCACTGTGGTGCTGAAGCTGCTCGGCCAAGACTCGGTCATTACCTCCACGGGACCCATTGACCTGGCCCAGAAATTTGGATACAAACTGGTGACGGTGCCGGAACTCACGTGTGAGTCGGCAGTGGAGGTGATGGTGCTGCCTCCCCCGTGCGTCTTCGTCCAGGGAGTGATCGGGGTCTTCAAGGAGGCCCCCAGACGCCCTGGGGAAGGGACCATTCGGCTGGCTGAAAACAGCCTGACCTTGGGAGAGAGGAGAACAGTATTCAACTGCACTTTGTTTGACATGGGGAGGAATAAATACTGCTTTGACTTTGGCGTTTCAAGCAGAAGCCATTTTTCCACAAAGGAGAGGGAGTGCATGCTAATCCAGAGAAACATAGGTTCGTATTGAGATTTTGTTTTTAAGTTTATTTATTTATTTTGAGAGAGAGCACGCGCGCACAAGGTGCAGAGGGGCAGGGGGAGAGAGAGAGAGAGAGAGAGAGAGAGAGTTCCAAGCAGGCTCTGCACTGTCAGCACGGAGCCTGATGTGGGGCTTGAACTCACAAACCACAAGATCATGACCTGAGCTGAAGTCTGTTGCTTAACCGAAAGGGCCGCCTAGGCTGGTTGGTATTGAGATTTCAAAACATTTTTAACCAAACTGGTGCATTCATGCAGTGAAAATTATTATTTTGAATTTAGGTGAGCTGTACCATCGTTGTTATGGTTCCCTTCTCATAATGTCGCAAATGGCATTGTCCATCCTTATCTGAAAAACTAGGAGTAATGATAAGCAGACCCAGCTCCCTGCTTACCTCTCTAGGTCTCAGTTTCCCCATTAGTAAAACAGGGATAATAATGGTTTCTGCCTCAGAGTTGTGAGAATTCAGTGAAATACATGTGCACGGTTCTCCGCATTGTGCCTGGCATATAGGGACCAGGTGCTTCCAATAAACCTTAGCTGCTGTGCATTATAGTTAAAAAAGTTCTATTATTACATCACATGGCAAGTCCGTGGCAGGTAAGAGCAGAATTCAAAGCTAAATCTCAAATTGTATGTAGTTAACTTCTGGCTTCCTCTAGCGGATCATGTCTCTTTCCTGTTACATCTTTCATTTACAGGAATGAGTTTCTTTAGAAGTGAGATTTCAAAGCGAGATTTCCCAACAAAAGTTCAGATTCTCAATTCTTTGCATAATGCCCTACCTAATCACAAAGAAGTGGGGTTATTACCATTCCATCCATGCCCCATGCTCCTCTTTGCATTTCTTTTCCTTTTCCTGGGTGCAGGCCTGGTCTTGGCGAGAGAATCATGCGGCAGGGATTGTCCCGTTTGCTTACGTCTTCATCCCCGCTGAGCTCCATGCACCCTGAGGGCCCAAGCGTCTGTCTTTGGAACCCCAAGTGTTTCTTGCTCCAAATTCGCCCACTTTCTCTCCTTGGAAGCTCATTGCCTTTGACTTTCTCTGCACCCTGTGGTCACTTCTCTGCTTGCACTCACCTCTCTGTCCAGCCTAGATTCTATGGCCCGTTTCATCTCTCTCCTACCAATACCCTAAACTCCTGTGCCGTGTTATCCTTCTGATGCACGAATCCAGCTGCCTGCCCACTGCATGGAGGCTGGATGAGGTCACACCCGGGAGACAGGGGCACTGGGAGTGGGTTGCACCTCCCTCCTCAGCCGGGCCCACCATGCTACCCTGGCCAGCGCTGCTCCTGTTCTCTAGAACACCGCCCCCGCAGACCTCACCCCCTGCCCCATGGCTGACTCTCAGAGCTGAGTTTGTCTCCTGCCACACAGGGCAGCTGGCAGCCATCTGGTACGAGCCACCTCACCCTCCCACTAAAATATCTGTGCGCCTGCAGCCATCGGTCCTCCTTTGTCACCACCATGGAAGAAGTGTCACTCCTCCAGTGCGAGGTCAACCTTGCCCTCTGCTGTGGACCCCAGTGTCTTTGCTCATATCAGGAATCCTCTGTTAATCCTGATGCCCTCTCCCTCTTCTGTCTCTAACTGTCCCTTGATGGGCTTCTCCCCAACAGCTCTGAAATATGCTTAATTCTCTTATCTAAAATTACAGCCAACACCACCCCTCATCCCCTGGTTCTCCCCCACATAATACCATCTTTCTCTCTCCTTCCTTTTATAGCCCAGGTTCTTGAAAAAGTCACCTATACACTGCGGTGTATTTCCTCACCTCACGTGCACTTTTCAGCCCACGTCTAAGCCACACTCCTCCCCTGAAAGTGCTCTCACTAAAGCAGCCAGTGGATGACTTCCAAGGTCCCAAAACCCAGGGGCGCTTTGCAGCCTGTGTCTTCATTGACCTTGATTCCGTGACCTCACACTCGCCTCGCTTACCTCCCACCTGCCTGGCTGTTCCTTCATGGTCTCCTTCGCCTGCCAGTTCTGCCACCTGGTCTCATCCATTAACTATTGGACTTCCTCGCCTTTTTTTTTTTTTTAATGTTTATTTTTGAGAGACAGAGCGTGAGTGGGGGAGAGGCAGAGAGAGAGACACACAGAATCCCAAGGAGGCTCCACTCTGAGCTGTCAGGAGAGAATCCGATGGGGGGCTCGAACTCACAAACCATGAGATCATGACCCGAGCCAAAGTCAGACACTTAACCGACTGAGCCACCCAGGCGCCCCTGGACTTCTGCGCCTTATACTATTTACACACCCACTAGGTGATTACCATCCTGATGCCAGTGACTCCAGACTGGCATCCCTGCCCTGCATCTAAGTGCTGCTGCACAGCTGTCACCCCTCACGGGTCTCCCATCTCTCTCAAAAGCCACATACCTAGAATTCGACTCATCATCTTACCCCCTAAACCTGCTCCTCGGTAAGGCCTCCGCCACCCCTTTCATTGTTCAGACCGGAAGCCCAGGAGTTTTCCGCTTCTCCTTCACCTCCTATAAGTAATAAATCACTAAGTCCTATGAGTTTTGTCTCCTCGGTGTCTGAATCTCTCCACGTCTCCCCAGTTCTGCGGATACCACTTGGTTTAAACCTCTGTCATCCCTTAGCTAACCTATTGCAACAGATTCCTAATCGATTCCAGCTCCCTCCGCTGTCCACTTCGTTCTCTCACTGCAGCCAGAGAGATTACGTAAAACTCAGGTCTGCTGAGGTTGTTCCCCCGCTTAAAATCAAACTGTCAGTCACCTCACTGGATATGAGGATGAGAATCCACAGGGCCCTCTGTGGCCGGGCTGCCCAACCCACAGTCACCATCCCTGGGCGGGAGCCTCCTCCCACTTTCACCTGGTTGACGTTAACCTGTCTCCCAAGTCCTCACTTGGGTCACTCTTCCTTGACCCCAAACTTGCTAAATTCCCTTGCCGTAAGTTGGCATGGCATCCTTCATTCCTCTTTCATGGCATTGATCATTTCTGTCGTGGTTTGTTCAGTGTCTTTCTCCCCCTGCCCTCAGCCTTATGCCCACCCTCACTCTCATGGGGGAAGCTCATTTGGTGGGAAAAGCCAACTTGCGCTGCCATGAAGCTATTTATGATATTTATTTGGCCCACTTAGTAGGCCTGGCACTTTAATAGCTGTTCAATACATGTTTTATTCAAGTGAAAATTGAATGCAAATGTGGCCGGTCCAGATATTAGCATAGAAAAATTATATTCAGCTAATTTAATCATTCAAGCTACACTTGCCTTTTCAAAAGAAGTTAAGAGGAAAAAAAAGTCTAATTGAATTTAGTGGAAACAAACCAAGGGATATAAAGACATTTGAGCCATTTGATTAAAAACACTGGGAGCAGGAGGTCTACCTTGTGGTTCTCCCAGCCGTTGGGGTTCCCGCTGATTCTTCTGCTCGTTTAAAGACTGAGTTTTCCCCACAGCAGCAGGGAGAAGACACTGGAGAGGGCAGAAGGAAGGAGACTCCGGCTAATCACTGACATTTATGCTAGTAATGGGGACCTCAGTGCCTTCCCTGGTTTTAGTATAAAAAATGTATGACTGAATCGAGTTCTCTTCTTTTCATTTTCCACTTAAAATTGGCAGCTGACTTTTTTTTTTTTTTTTTTTTTTTTTTTTTTTTTTTTTTGCTAAATGGTATCATTTAGGGACCCCATTGAACCTGCCATGACTTGTGTGAGCTGCTGCCTCCACTGAATTTCTTACTAGTTCCTTTGAACAATGGAGTAATGTGTTTGACATGTCTGTCTCTTTTTCCAAATATATCTTCAGACCTGAAGATAGTAAGTAAATAACAGTTTACAGGAAATGCAAAATAGATGTGCTGCATTTAACCAAAAATTATTCATGGTCTTCATTAATCCTACTTGGTGTGAATGTTCATATTTTTCTCTGCAGAAATGTTAATGTGTTTGGCTATGGGATGCTGCCTGAGATCCTGGTAGGGGAGTGTTAGTAATCTTGGCATAGCACTGTAATAACTTACAAAAATAAGTTGAGAAATCCTAAATGCTGAGCACATCTGCCCAGCATCCCGTTTCAGACAGGAGTATATAAATTTAGGGTAAAAGTTGATAATGAATATGATAGAGGATATGAAGTCATAGTCACATAACTTTTTTTAACTTAGGTTTTTTTTTTTGATAAATAAAAAGTGTATATATTTATAGTTTCCTTGATAATTTAATTTTTAGGCCATCTTCTTGTTTCTGTGATTAAATGGTATGGTTTTTCTTTCATAATGACTGAACAAGAGCTTTTTACCAAGGACAGAACTATCAACCCTGTCAGTTCCTTCCTGTTTGCACGTTGTGCATTATCTTTAATTCTCCGCCAGAATCTTTTTTAAGCTACTTGTCCACTTTGGGAGTTAGTTTACCTAAAGCTAGAAAATACAGTTGTAAAAATTCATGTAAGTAGACCCCTAGATGCTGCACTACTCCATATTCTTTGAAAGTGAATGAATCTGTAAATCCTTCCAAGAATAAACTCTTCTTTTGGGATTCCTTAGGAATATCCTGTAGGATATCTGACATCCTGTGTGCGATCATCTGACATAATAAAGCTAATGTTTATATAGTGATTACTTTGTAACCAGGCACTGTTCTGAGTGATTTATAAATATTAACCTGTTTAATCTTCATAACAACCCTATTAGTTAGGCTTATAATTTTGTCAATTTTATAGGTGAAGAAATAGAAGCACAAAATAAGTAACTTGCCTGAGCTCAATTGGTGGTTAAGTGTCTTAACCACTACTGATGGTTGACTGGCTTTTACCATTATTCTTCACTGCCTCCCATATAATCAACTGTCAATTCATGTATTAAATAATGTAAAATGTTTAAATTGAAAAAAGTTATACTATTTTCTCATCTCACTGGTTTGTCTTGTGCTGTCCACCCGTCTTGAAACACACATAACCCACTTTGGAACCCACAAGCATGATTTGGCCAATATAA